ATCAATTCAGAGGAAACTATAGCATGGTGAAAGAAGTTTCCCACGCTTTCTTACAGAATGAAATCAGATGGCAGTATGAGTCCTTCGTTCAACTGTCATAAATATCCTATCCTTCATAGATTCCCAGTCATTTTTTGCATTCACTCAGGGAACAGTTGTAACGGCTATCTAGTTCCAACGACAAAAAACGAATTTCCGATCTGTTTGCTTAGACCGACTGATCAGACAGCTCCTACAAATATTATTGTTGCACTTTTCTGTTAGGAGCTGTATACCACCATTTCGTTCTTGAAACATGTCTACTGTGATCAACTTCAACCTTTCGCACAGAGGCAGAGTATCTCGGATTTGTGGCGTCCTTTCAAACTTTTACTATAAAACTTAAACTACATTATTCAGCACTTCAGTGAATCGCAGAAGGAACAATTTCTGAACAGAAATATGCCTCTATGTTGCTCATTCCCACTGCAAGGCGGTTTCGTAGTCAAGTGTGCAGAATCTCAATTCCAACATAACAAGTTCGCAGGTCGGAACGAAAAGTTTTTTCCACGTGTCTAACACAACCAGCCTTCTTTTCCCAACTCATACATTTACTGAAGACAGGTATATCGGAAGAGAATAAAATCTCTTACCAGATTTTACCATTTAGCGACCATTAACATTAGCCATTATTTATGCATACCGCTTAAAATCGTTATTGTCTTTTTTCGTTGTTGAGAGAATGAAGTATAAAATGAAACTTACCTAACCGAAGCCAAGAAAGAAGGATTTTTACGGAAAAAGACATTCTCAGCCTAAATATTTCACAGGAGAGTGGACACTAGGTTGATTTTTCTACTCAATTCCAATTAGCTGGCACCGTCGCGATGATAATAAAATCGACATTCTCTACAAATCACTTGTACGCCGCACCAGCGAATCAATTTTGTGGATCAATGCACTAGCGGATCATTAGTGGATCGGGTTAGTCATAAAATAACATCCTAGTGGCAAGGAGATGCTTCGGCATGTTTTACTGTACACCGAAGCCATCAAGTGGCAATTTACAATTCTGGTATCACTCGTCAGAAAATATCCGCGTAGTCAAGAGCAGCAAGACAACTGATCAGTATCTTTATCTTTATCATCCTCTCTAGAATAAGACCGTGGGCGAAGCCAAAAATAAAGTCAAAAGTATCTTTCGGATAGCTTCATATTTAATCAAATAACCCCTCCAAATGCAATTACTCAGGGTGATTCTTCGTGCATTTCTTTCAAAAGAAAAACGATGTACTCAATACTGTATTATATTTTCCATTTTTCCCACCTTTGTGAACAGGATTTAAACTGTACGTCATTTTAAAACCGACGAGTGTCAGAGAAAGGCAACTGTAATCATCAGCACTGCTAAATGATTTTATGAAAAGCGAAAATTCAGCTAGAGCAAGAAATCACTTAAGGAAATTTGCCTGATTCGAATTTCAGTTCGACCGCAGAATCCTCGTCAAAACCGCCAACCACAGTCTTTCCAGAAGAACTTCGGGCAACGCCCATATTTTATGCAAATGTGTAGAGCTTTAATACTATTTCTCTGATCGATTTTGATAATTCTACAGAAATTCGATTCACAAAACCGACCTTCGTTACCTTTCGAATCCTTCTATAAATTACTGCTACTTATTAACCTGCCATCACAGCATCACCTCAAGTTTCACTTGCAATTGATATCTTTAGCTCAGTGACTCAGTACAGACCAGAGTTACTTAATCAGTAGAGCTTCGAGTTCCGGCCATATCAATCGTGTTTTTTCCGTCCAGTGTTGATATAGAATACCACTTTATCGGAAGGAAATAGGAATCTAAACACTATGCCTACGACGCAGCTGGTATCGACACTGTCCTTACGATAACGTACTCCTGTATGATGATAGGGAAATAGAGAAAAGCACTCCACCATCTACTAGATGAAAAGAAGGCCGAATGACCACATCATGAAAGTGTAACGAAGACCGACATTAAAACGGTTACAAACTTTCCTTCAATTAACTTTAGCAGTTTATTATAAGTCTACATCGAACCTAATACAATAATATTTGGTGGTCCAATTGTTATCAGCACAAGAAGACCACACGTACAATCAGTCAATATATGGTTTGCCAGCGTTTGAACCAGGAAAGAAAACCCCCAAGTGGAAGATCGATTTATCGTGTAATTCTATCATGTCTCTAGTCACGATTTAATAAAGCCGATAATTTAGTATTGGTGACAACGCGCATATATTTTCAATAATTTATCATTATTAAAACATCTTACCAGCTGGGGATACTGCTACCGTCGATGGCGTCATAGGCGACTGAGTGACCAGAGGAGACGGCTCCGGATTGGCGTATAAATTCGACGTAAAACTCGATGAACTCGGGCTCATATAGTTGGTCGCTAGTCATTAATCGTAAATGAAATGAATACTCAATAATTTAGATGTTTACCAAATTCAGCAGGTGATGCCATAGTATAATTGTCGATAGCCGGGCTGGGAGTTGATTGTACCGTGTACGGACTAGGTGACTGTTCTGAATAGAGTCCAAGGCCGGGCGTATAAGCGCCACCTAAATTTACAGACGGATATGGTCGAAAAGTAAGAAAAGCGCAAGAATAATAAGTACTGCATGCCTCGAAAGGATACACGAGTATGACATCGAAATCTTCATTACTTGAGATACTTTTTGCAAAATTAAACCGCAAATTAAGATTATAAAAGAACATAGCCATAAAGGTCGAATGTTAATTCAAATATTTTAATATAGTTGTGATTTATAAACCTCATATAGCGCATGTGTACCGTGAAAAACTTATTAAATCACGTAATGTTCCTAAGGACATGGTGACGTGGTCTTCGACAAATTAGAATTCTGTACAACTGACGGATCTGAATCGTTGTCATTAAGTAGTCCGTTTTTCTGAAAAATGAATCCAATTAACAGAAGATGAATGCTGCATGAGGGTCGATAAATCAAAGAAGGCACTGTCTTTTAGAATAAGAGAGAACAGTTAACAGCCTGAAAAATATTTCATAAATGAAACTCTTGGAACCTGCAAAAAATTAAATTTTTATTTATTTAATCTGTATAACAAATTTTGCTACGATCCTAATCGACTCTTTCTTAACCTGTTACTAATAGAAACTTATTCAGCATAAGCACTGCTTTACCAAAGAAACTGATAAGAAAATGCCCGTTTCGCAGTTCATGATCTGAACTAAATCGTGATAACGAAAGGACGCAGCAGATGACACTTCATACTTTAGACAGTACTTCATAGGCACGGTCTGAACATAATATGGAATAAAATTTTCTTATCAGTTGCTAATCCCTTGAGGAAAGGCCTGACCCATCTAAGGGACTGCTGGTAATTCGCTGTCTGTCACTGTTCTGAAGCATCTGCTTTTAGGCTGCAATTAGTGCTGTCTGAACATGCTTGACAAGGGAATAAATCAACATGCGCGATTCGTAAAAAAATAAAGCAAGCACAGCTAAAACGGAGTATCAAAAATCAGTACCGTTTTCATTCGTTTCAGCCACTTCTCTTCAAAAGAAGAAGAGGCCGCTGCTAAACATAATATAATGAATAGAGTTCAGGTCAAGCGCATGATTGAAGCAGTCTGGCTAACAATGCGACTGTGATCATAAAGTTCAGACCATGCGTCATATTTCTTAATGTCTGCTAGTTTGAAGGAAACATAACTGATACTCAGTCATTCCCCTGAATATCACAAAGGCCAGAGCATAAATTTATGTACGGTTTTTTCATTTGTTCAGTATTTATATTTTAATAGGTTACTCATGCTGATTGGAGCATTAAACTTCAGGAGTGCAACTCGTGTATGAGAGAGGAAGAACAATACAAGTTGTGGAAGTAAACGGTATTTAGTACATTTCATAGTTTCTGCACATTTAGTTTCTTAAGGACGTTGTAGTGTAGCTATTGGCAAAGTAATAACTGTAGGTTATGACAGAAATAATCTGCATCTGCAATAATTTAAAAAAATACTATTACGTATCCACAACAGTGGACTAATTAATAATGCGAAATGCATCCGGCATTTCATACATTTTAGACCCTAAAAAATCACAACAACACAGATTCTTAGTTTTTCAACTTCAAGCAAAACAAATAAATATTCCTAAATAATCACTGGACGTCATGCGCTTGAAAAGACAATGCCATCGATAATGATCACTGAAACCAACGTTAAAATCAAGAAAATGCGTTTAACATAAGACCTGAGCTGTGTACCGATTAAAATCCAAATGCAACTTTACTTTCAAAAATTTGAAATTCGCAAAAACTAAAAAATTCGCGATGTACGTCAAGGAGCAAGATAGTCCTACTGCAAAGCCACGAAATCGTTTGGACGACATGTGTTTAGTAAGATACCCCATGGGTAAAAATCCACATATATAATGCTGCTGATAAAGCATATAAGGAGTACCGGCTCCTGAAACAATTTTTCTATAGTAGGATTATGCGAGGATTGATATAAACTGTATCATTAGTGCAAACCAAGGAACAGAATCTGCATAAACAGTCAGTAGGCGCTTGGGATTAGGAAAACAATGCCACAAAACCCGGTTTTGTGAAGTTCAGAGATTATAAGCTTATCTGCAGATTTATGGAAGCCAACTGCTAACCTAACGGCGTCTCCGCTACGTATCCGGGCGTGGATGGGTTAACAGACATCGGCGCCCCGTAGGCAGTCGAAGAAGGTCCTTCGTCGTAGTTGAAATCATCATCGACAGTGCTTTGTCTAAAACCGATTGTAAGCATCGCATTTCGTCACCGTTATAGTTGAATCGCAGTCAAACCTAGCGGGAGTGTTGGTGATATTTGGATCCCAGACGCCTGACTGTCCGGGTGTTCTGCTGCCCTGGTCGTGCAGCGGTGTCTGACTGCCGTAATAAGGAGTGCGTCCACCTGGAAATTCACATTATTTGTCGAAATGAGAGCGATCATCTGTGATGGCTAAACACATTGAACAGTTCGGTTTACCTTCAGTAAGGGGCGTCTGAGACCCGTACATTGGCGTCTGAGAACCGTACATCGGTGTTTTGCCAAACTCATTGAACGGCGTTCTGCCACTGTCAGATCGAGGAGTTTTGTCATAGGTGGACACGGTTCCACCCGCAGCTGAAGTACCACTGAAAAACATTATTTTCTTAGAAATGTTGAAAAAAACACTTATCGATGTTACCCGACGATGTGAATTCGAGAACGATCAACCAAAATCGTCTGACAACCAGAATGAAGTTCGATCAAGGCTGTCTGTTCAGTAGCGTC